GGAGAGAGAAAGAGAAAATTCAGGCTCCTTGGGGCTCTCTGGTGTCCCCTGCCAATTGCAGAAACATAGATTTCAATTCAAACTATGAAATCTATGTCATACTCATTAGTGGATTTACAGTAGAGAACTTTGCCTGTAATTATTTTCCTTTTGATGGGCATAGCCACAGTTATTTTGAGACTCCTGACAGGAGCAGCAGTGGCATGGATGAGATCTCAAATGCCACATACTGTCAGGTTGGAAAACATAGATGTGTTCCACTCGGTGGTTTGAGATTGCTATGTAATCTTGCATTCTGCAGTTCAGAAACTAGAATCAAGAAATTTATCATTCCAAAATACTTGGATAAGAGAAGGAATTACTGTAGAGGGTAGATAGTCTCCTGAAAGACAACTGTATGAAAGAGAATAGATTGACATTTACATTTGTTGGAATACATTAACCTCGAAAGTCTGTAATAATGAAGACTCACTTGCAGATACTGATATCTTCTTCTTTTTATTATTTTTCTAACCTTATTTTTGGCCTGTGTTCAAAATACATGTTTTCTTCTCTTCCTGGTTTCTAATCTTCCTTAAATAATTTCATCTAGATATGTGTAGACCATCTGTCCTTCCAAAAGGCTATTTCTTCTCTCAGCAAGAGGCAAGGGAGGGAACAAGAGGCACAGTATGGACAGAGAGCCAGGAAAAATCTTGCAGACAGTTTTTTGGCTTCTCTTTTCCAGTCCTTGGAGAACAACAGGGAAACAACAGCTTGTATTCATTTGTGAAAGTGGCAATGGCTACAGAAAGGAAAATGCTAGGCTGTTCAGTTCTCCTTCTAGACTCAGAAAAGCAGTGAAGATGGTGGGTGGTATGCTGGAATGCACATGTTCTGTGCCACAGAATCAAATAGAATGGAATTTCTTAATTGTCATTAAAGTGCAACATAGGAGATTCCAACATAACTGGAACATACGTTTGGCTTGTAAAATATAAGCCAATGATTTGAATTGCTTTCAAATATACAATTAGAAGTTTTCTTCATTGTGATAATTTTGTAATAAGCTGTGTCTCTCCCCAAAGACCCTCTCATGTCCTTGGGGATTGATTACATACATGAGGCACTGTGGGAGTGCACTCACAAGATTGTCCAGGCTTAAGATACACACTTGACCCCTAAAGCCACATGATGTCTAGCTCTTACCCTTGAAAATTTAACCCTTACAAGGGTTCTTGAGATACTACCTTCAAAGCACCCTAGCCTTAGCATAGTAGTCTTCAGTGAATAAATGTTGAATGAACAGGGCATTAATTCAAGTCCATTTTCATTAGCACTTTTGTGTGTAAAGAGAAACAGCTCTCTGTAGCCCCTCCAGCCATGTATAAGACCTCAGTAAAGAAGGCAGTCTTGCCTCAGAAGAGCCTGAAAACCTAGAAAGAGATAAGAACATTAGTAAAAATGCTAATTTGAGCATTGGAATTGTTACTTGGAGATCTCCACTGTAAATTGTCCTTACTGTCTTTGAAACATAACAGAGGTAAGGCTTTGTGCCCCTGTGAAGAACAGAATAAAGTCTTTCATAAGCCTTGAGCAAGCCGTGACTGCTGCCAGTATTATGAACAAGAGACAATTCAACCATGACTCTGTCTTGTGTGGTTGAGCTGAAAGCCCCTCTAATTCAAACAGATAGGATTGCCCCACAGGTGTGAAACCTTCCAGATAAGGGTAAAATGAATGCTCTAAATCACTAGATACTGACCTGTAGATCAGGGACCACAGCTTTGTTTCATGTGCTTTGAAGAAGCCCATAGATAAAGATGCATCCCCAACTTTTGCCCAGGTATCAGATTTCACTGAAAATCTGATTTAAACATTGCAAAAAGTACGTTCATTTGCAAAATTTTGGCAGCTCTCCATTTTGTTTCAGGATGGTAAATTGAGTCATAAATCAAACTTAAACTGAATCCTGAAAACTTTTGGTATTGTCAAAAATTAATCAACTCTATAGAAGTGATGGTGTGACAAACATGAAGTATTGAGTGGTTGAGTTAAAAAAGAGGCTGTCACTTAATATTGATGATGTTGATTTCTTTGGAAATAGTTGTGCTGTTGTGGGGTAAATGCACAGAGGAATCCAAGACCAGTATCAGTGTTGCAGTTTTATAGCTCTTTATTTTAGTTTTGCAGCTCTTTGTTCAGTGTTACAGCACCTCTTTTTGCTTGCAAGCAAGGAGAGCACTGGGGAGCAAAAACTCCTTATACCAGTGTCTACTGGAACAAAGGAAAAGACCGTTTTAGATAGCCTAAATTCCTGCCCTTTTCCCACCCAAGTTTCCATTCAGGTCCTCTTATATAAATGAGGGAATGCAGTCCAGCTAATTTGGATTGGCTGATTATGGGACACAGTCCATTGGTCAGTTTTGGAGCCTAATTTGCATCCGGCCCTTGGGGGATGTGAGACTGCTGTTATCTCAAAGAGGACGGGTGCAGGAAGCAGGCAGGATAAGCTGCAGGAGCCAGAGCTTGCCACCAAGACAGTCAAGCATAAAATCTGTAAAACAGTTTCTCCAGTGGAAGGGGG